GAAAATGATTCTTTTTCGTCTAGACAAATGGGTCGAGTCGAATGGTTTACTTTCAGATACGCAATTTGGATTTCGGAGAGGCAAAGGAACGAGCGACTGTCTTGCGTTGCTTTCAACTGAAATTCAACTGGCCTATGCGCAAAAACAGCAAATGGGATCAGTTTTCTTGGACATTAAGGGGGCTTTTGATTCTGTTTGTATCGATGTCCTTTCGGATAAACTCCACGATAGTGGGCTTTCACCAATTATGAACAACTATTTGAGCAACTTGTTGTCTGAGAAATATATGAGCTTTTCTCATGGAAACTCGACAACTTCACGAATTAGTTACATGGGTCTCCCCCAGGGCTCATGTTTAAGCCCTCTTCTTTATAATTTTTATGTAAAAGACATTGATGGTTGTCTTGATGAAAATTGCTCGCTAAGGCAGCTTGCAGATGACGGCGTTGTGTCCGTTATAGGGCCAAGTGCACCGGACCTACAAAGACCATTGCAAGATACCTTAGACAATTTGTCTACTTGGGCTATGAAGCTGGGTATCGAATTCTCTCCGGAGAAAACTGAGTTGGTTGTTTTTTTCTAGGAAGCATCATCCTGCACAGTTGCAGCTTCAACGGATTCAATACCGTTGCCTTCGTATTGCGCTAGGCTGTATGCACTCGACTCGTACGATGAGCCTCAAGGTACTCGCGGGTGTTCTCCCACTGACAGATCGTTTCGCTGAGCTGTCTTTCCGGTTTCTCATCCGTTGTGAAGTATTGAATCCTTTGGTAATAGAACACTTTGAGAAGCTGCTCGACCAAAATCCTCAAACAAGATTCATGAGTTTGTACTATGAGTACATGACGCTGGAGGTTGGTCCTTCTTCATTAATCTCCAATCGTGATTGCTTTCAAGCCTTCTATAGTTCCTCTGTAAATTTTGATCTGACCATGATGCAAGAAATCCATGGAATACCAGATCACCATCGGTCGATGGTTGTTCCCTCAATTTTTGCAATCAAGTACCACCATGTAAGTAACGATAAAAGATTTTTCATAGATGGGTCAACCATAAATGCTTCCACTGGATTTGGTGCATTTAATCAATTTCATAGCGCCTCCTTTAAACTGCAGAAACCATGCTCCGTATACGTTGCGGAACTCGCAGCTATATTTTACGCAGTAGAGCGAATTGCCTCACTACCTTCCGACCATTATTTCATTTTTACGGATAGTCTTAGCTCATTGGAGGCTATTCGTGCCTGAAATACGAACTAAACTGAGTGCTTTATCTAACTGCTCCTATACTATCACCTTAGCTTGGGTCCCCATCTCATTGCTCAATTTCGGGTAATGAGAAAGTGGACTCATTGGCTAAGGTGGGCGCTATGGAAGGCGATATTTTTGAGCGACAAATCGCCTTCAACGAATTTTTCTCCATTGCTCGCCAGCAAGTCCTCATCAGTTGGCAACAAAAATGGAATGATGGTGAATTGGGAAGATGGTTACATTCCATTCTCCCACAGGTGTCGAACAAACCATGGTTCAAAGGGTTGGACATGAGCCGCGACTTTATACGCGTTATATCACTGCTCGTTAGACTCGCCCTTCTATCGAATTGGGCTCTCAGGCAGCAATTTATGTGCGTGTGGCAGTGGTTATCACGATATCGAGCATGTTGTTTGGTCGTGTACCTTACACCGTGTTGCCAGATCTGAGTTATCCACATCCCTCAGGGCCCGAGGAAAACATCCCGCGATACCCGTTGGAGATGTCTTGGCGAGCCGAGACCTCGACTATTTGAATTTAATTTATGTGTTTTTAAAACGGATAGATTTGAGGATTTAGAAGTTAGTGTCATCTTGTGTTCTCCCAAGTTGTTAGCTACCCATCGGTGTACCCCCATGTTTGTCTTTTTCATCAGAGTGTCGAGATCAAGAGCACATTGCTCTCCAAACCTTGTGTTCACAATCCCTACCCTGCCATCCATTTGTTACAATTTGTTACCCCTAACCTCGAGATAGCCGCGAGTAATCGGCCCCCGCTTAATTAACGTTAGTTTTAAGTAATTTTGTTATCTAAACAATGAATATCGGCTCCGCAAAGCTACAGCAAATGAGCCTGGAAAAATAAACGAATTATTTAAAAAAAAAAAAGAAACTGCCATCGCATTGAGAGACCACATACAGTTCTCGCATGTGGAGAGGAGTATAGATGGTCGCCTGGTCACTGTAAGCGTCGTCCTAGACACCACACTCTGCTGCATTTATGCTCCGTCTGGAACAACATACAGTGCCCAGAGAGAGCGGTTCTTTTTTCTCATGATCGTACTGCAGAAGTCTTCACTGTTTTCGTTGTGCTTTTCATCATCAGCAGCGAGTGTAAAGTTTTGCTTGTGAGCAGCGACCATTACTGGTGATTGTTGTTTGCCATGGCTCTAACTCCCACTGCGTGACAAAACGATCTGTCAGCGATAGTCGGTTGATGTGAAGACGAGTGTCACGTGAGTGTCATGATATTTTGCATCACTGCGTATAGCCTACTACCTCCGTCACCGTCCCGAACACATAGTTCTCTCTCGCAAGAAAATTTTAACTATGTACTGCGGCAGTGCGATGCGACGGAGTATAATATGAGTCCGTCTCTCCAAGCTACCGTACAGCAGTTGCAGCTTCACGACGTGTGGTGGAAAGTTCGGCCCAGGGACTCTGTTCACACATTCATCACTGCAAAATCTTCTTCCAGACTAGATCGAATATAGGGGAAATGTTGGCCTCGGCAATACCTTAACCTATTATCGTCAGGCGGTAAACAACATCCTTGAGAGCTCAATTTCGGCGTATGGATATATTGTGTTTCAGAGCATCTATTGGCCAAATTTTAGTGCTCTAGGACTTTATTTACCCCCTGACGATAAAAGGTTAAGGTATTGCCGAAGCCGACAGCAAAGGATTGAGTGGACAGTTGCGAACGGTGCATAGCTATGACTTTGCGAGTATGTTTACCTAATCTAGGCCGAGCACAAGGGCGTGGATTTCTGGTCGTTTCGTCCCCATCTCCTCACCGACGAAAACTTGGTGGAGCTGCAAACCCGTATCGCTGTTGGATGGACTGGTGGCTAGTATAAGGCGCTCATGCCCTATTTACATTATGTTGGCTACCTTTTTTACACAGTGCTAGTACACTAGCGCTAGCAAATCTGCACAGATGAGAGCGAAAAAAATTATGGGATCCTGAAACCGTTTGTTTTATTTTCAAGAAGCATTATGTTTATGAGTTTATAAAATTTCTCGAAGTAGCAATCGCCACAACGAAAACAACTACCAGCCCTGACCTTGCCTAACAGGAGGAAGACGCTTAAGTGACGGACAATATTCTGACAGGGCAGGCAAATCTTACCTCAAAGATGGGAAATGCTTAAGCGACGGATAAAGTTTGTTTGTGATCAGGAAAATAAGACACCTCATATCAAAGGTGTGAGACTTCTAAGTCACGTCATACCACTTGGCTCGCAAAATAACTTGAGAAGCACTGAAAATTCTTAACAAAACATTTTATTTACATAAACAAATAAAGCATCACACCACAGACAAACAGACGTAACTCTTTGAAAAACTTGTTCTTGAAAAAATAGTATCTCAAAACATATAACCTCAGTAACGACATCTATCTGGCTTCTCGCGGAAAACAAACTTGCTCGCCTACTTGTAAACAATATTGCATAAAATTTCTATAGAATATATAGAAACGTCAAAGTGATCCGATGCCAGCGCTGCGGCGAGTAGTTCGCGGAACTGATAATATTCAAATCAATCGTTAAATGCATGAACGAAGATCCACAATGAAGAGTTACGTCTGTTTGTCTGTGATCACACGTTCAGTCTTCTACTCTCGACACAACACCACGAAATCACTCCCAAAATCACTCGAAACCTTCCTGCGAACTCGTATCGTCACAGGGGGAGGTAGATTGCGGTGCCTCGTGTTTGACGCGATAGTCGATATACTTCTGGTCGATTACCATCGGTTTGTCGTGCAGCAAACAGTTGCCCTTCTTCCGGAGCACTTTGACCAACGACTTCTGCGGCCTGCAAACGTGAACGATCTTCTCCACTAGCACGTAGCCACAGTCGCATTCCTCCTGCTTCAAAGGCTGCAGCTTTACGGATGTCGATGAAGAATAGTCGCCGTTTTCCTGTGGGGCGACGTATTCGTACGGGACGGTCGGTTGGCGAGCAGCCGACGCCCAGTGAAGCAATCCCGTAAGTAGCAGTAGTATGATCGGCAGTGAGAGGGACTTCATTTTGGCAGTCTCAGGATGTGGCACGTTTGAATATTCCAACCAAATGGTTGGTGATGGTATTTTGCTAAGAAATTTATATAATATTCAACGTCCCGCGTTGATTCCCGATTTGCACGAAGCTTATCATTATTTCCATTTGAGTTATTGTTGTGCGCGTTTCGGTAAACATGTGTTTAGGCAATCAGCGCGAGACGTGCTTCTGCTGCCAATGGGCTAGAAACAGAATGTTTGGGTTAGAGTTTTTGGTGTTGAACTGTACGAGCCCACCTTTGAGTTATCGAAAGGTGTTTGAAAAGAATGTGATGATAATTACAAGGTAGGTCCTTCTCCTTGGGACCTTTTTTATGATGGCCAGTGTGGGTTGTGAAATAAAACCACGCTGGAGACGGTAGATTTGATTCCCGTCCATGTAACATTCCGTCAAAAATATGTTTATGCAAATTTACGACTACTATACGATCAGTCACGTTCTTGCAAAACCTCATTATCAAGCAGCGTTTTTGTTCAATTGATAGCAAAGTGGTCATTCAACCACGTCCATATTTAAGCAAACTTAGTTCACTTCAGTTCTCACTGCTCTTACCGAAATTGCCGTAACTGTTTCAACTGTTTGCATGTTTTTGTGATACACACAACCTGTTGAACAAACAAATCCTTCAGTGTGCAACGGTTTGTATTGTAACCCATTTTCGCCTTTTCCCTCGCCTCGTTTGCAGAAATCGTTGTACAACGATGAAATCCTCAAGATCAACAAACGGCACGAGAAAGACTATTCGGAACTCAAAGTCGAAATAGACCACGAGAAGAAGAAGGTAAGCCACCAATCAGTTACCGCTTTCCATGATTTTGATTGACATGGTCATAATTTGTTCCTTTTTAACAGTTCTGCAAAATGGAAGTCCACGCCGGTAAACTGCAACAGCAGATCGGCAATCTGAACGAGAAGAACCTGGATCTGATGAAGGAGAACGAGTTCATGAAGTCCAAGCTTCGCATCATGGAGGAAATCCGAGGGGAACGCAAGTCCATGCTACCACCACCGGCCCATGCCCGACTCTGTAGGCTCTTCGATACCTCAGTCTTTCTTTAACTTACTTTAAATTCAAACCCATACCCAAAAACAGGTGCCAACCTAAAGATGGAAGACGAAGAGGGTGAAATCTTTAACAATACCTACCTGACGGATCTGAAAGCGGGTCGCATGTCGCCGCCGTTTGCCGGTCGGGACTCGATTCGGTACTCGGAACTGCAGCAGCGCAATTCGATGCTACCTCCGCACCTGAAGAGCAGCTATCTGCCGCAGTACGTTGACGGGGAGCTGACGGACGATGACAACAGGGTAAGTGTTGATGATCATTTAAAAACATTTGAACGAAGTTTATTCTTTGTTGCATTATTTTCTGTGTAGCGTGTTGATGTTCAAATTTCTCGAAACACGACATGTCGTGAGGTTATTAAAAAGGAGGATGAAACAACCGTCTGAAATTCTCTCAAACAGGTGCGCCTGAGGTGGATGAGTTAAGTTGGTATTTGTGACGTATTTGGGTGTGTGCGTGTGCGTTTGTGTCAACCTCCCTGTTTACCGTATTACGATGTTCCTCTTCCTAGTCACGATGTTGATTCTCATCTTCCACAAACCCACAGGACCTCGCCGCCGGCAACCTGGACGACAGCAGTACCAGCTTGATATCGCGCAAGAAGCTAAGTGGTACGACCTCTTACAAACGACCTGGGCCGCCGACACCGAGCAAGAAGGCCGGACGCCTATCGTTCGGTGGATCTCTACCGACCAACGATTTCCAGTACAAGGAAATTCTCAAAGATAATTCTCAAAGCAATGGTGGGATGACGACGACGTCTACGATGTCTTCTTTCGGAAGTCGCCTCAGTTTCGGCGGTCGGAAAAGCAATGTAGATTCCTCGATGGCGGCGGGTGCTGCCGCCGGCAGTAGTGGAAGTATTGCCGATTTGAACGCCCGCCGGAAGACTCCCGGCAAGTTCAAGCAGATGATCAGCTCGACGAATCTCTTCAACACGCTGCAAGCGGAGAAGGACGAGGTAGATAAAGACAAAAAGTTTTTCCCTTTCTATATCTAGGGTTTCAAGGCGCTGTGGATGGAGTCCCGCTCTGATGGTTTTGTATACGTGTGTGTTTAGACGGTGTTTGCATGTGTACAATCGTTATACGGTATACTATACTAATCCTTGTAAGACACATTTTCACCCGGTAGGCCGTTTTGATGAACCTCAGCTGGAATTTCAATCTTTGGCGCAATCGGCAAAGGAAGTAGACATGTGTATTTTCATGACATAAATGAAATGTCTCTTTTCTAATCATTTGCAAAAAAAGAATGTAGGCCTTTTGTTTGTCAATAGACAAAAAAAATACAGTAATAAGTAAATTATATGTTTTGCATTTCGAACGATATTTGAGGTATGGAAGTCAAGATTGTCGTAATCTGTAATCTGTAAACGCTCCTTAACTTTTCCTGAAAACAACCGACTTTCTGTACTAGAAATACTCCAAAATTAACCATAAAGGTTCCTCGAATCTCCCTGAAATTCCATAAGAACTTGATATAGCCGGCAATATAGAATTATAGGCAAAAGTGATAAAGACTACGTATCAAAAGCTTCATGAAAGGTTGTTGAAATTCCATAAAATTCTAACAGGGTAAATGGCGGCTTTGGCATCCATTGACTGGTTTCGGCAACCACAATTTAAACGTGAAGTTCACTGTATTGTCTCACCAAAATGCTTAGCTATATGTATTTAAATGATTTCTTAGTCTTTCAGCTTCAATCTGATAACATTTTTACAATTAAGCAAACCTGTTATGCCAGGGTTTTAACCTTTGCGTACCTAAGCTTTTTCATCCAATCGATCGGGAATTAATCATATATTGTCCAGCAGCTTTGAGACGACCTTCTTCCAGCAATTTAAAGAACATGAAACAATGCATTCCTAATGTTTCTAGCTTAGCATAAATTAGACCAACGTTATAAAATCGCGGGCCAAATGTTAAAATCCATATCAGCTGGCGCGCCAGAATTTTTCTATGGATTGATAAGATAATTTGCGTATCATTTCACTACAGAACGTTCTTTCTGCGGTGAGTGAGTCACTTTTACTGATTCGTGTGGAGAAATTTCTAAAAGGGTAGGTTACTCAAGCGCTGAGTGACCTCACTTTTAGAAATTTATCCATACGAATCAGTAAAAGTGACTCACTCTCTGAGTTCGTTTAGTTTTCAGTGTTTCGACTAGATAGGATGTTGCTGTCTTTAATAAAGTTATTCAGATGGATGAGACCTGAACAGCTCAGATCATAATTCTCATATCTGTCGGCGGCTTCGTTCGAACCGTTCAAACCATACAAAAACTTTTGTTTTGTTCGAACGAAAACAAGAATAATACGATTTATGCAATCTTTTTCGAAAGAAAATGGAACAAAGAATAATGAAAGTTATGAAAACTATAACCACAGAAAAAACAGACTTAACACATTGAATATTTCTCACTGTAAAACATCGTTGCTAAAACACTTCCGGCATCCGTTGAGTACCTTTTGATGGGCAGTACGCTCAACAGATGGTGGTAGCGTTAAAAAGTTAGGGAATTGACTATGCGCGCCTAAATTGGCGGTATTACCAACTAAGAAATATTTAAATTTACCGTTGAATGCGTGTTCGATGAACAAATTGTGAGTATTATGTCTGTTTTTCTGTGCTATAACTATAACTAGCACTATATGTTGTATATATGGAGTATAACCAATTCTATCTGGTGTTTAATAAGTTTCAATGAAACAAACAAATTGACATTGCATTTATTCAATTACAACGTTTGTTATTTTATAGATTTTAAATTGAGCACAGGTAAAGATAAACTGAATTTAAGTTAACCTAAATAAGTTTTAGTTGAAAGCCACTTGTCTATCATAGTTTTGCAACATAATGATTTGTAATGTCAGAGGTGCACTTTGCAGTTTCCGAAAGTTAGGTGAACATGTTTGGAACCTAATTATAGGATTTTATAATTTCAAAAATTTAATCTAAATTTTTCTTTACTTTACTTTTCCTGGTCCGACGTCCCTCAGAATTGCACCTGCGTCACAATGTTACGCCAACTAACTTGGTTCGTGGCTGCTTGTCTCCAATTTCTTGACCGTCCCACACTTCCTAGATCTTGCTCCACTTGGTCTAACCACCTTGCTCGCTGTGCTCCTCTGCGTCTTGTACCGGCCGGATTCGAGGCAAACACTATTTTTACGGGATTGTTGTCAGTCCATCGTACCCGTCCAGCTTTCGCGACTTTCTGGATACTGGGTTCGCCATAGAGTTGCGCCAGCTCGTGGTTCATCCTTCTCCTCCATACAACGTTCTCACCTACCCCGCCAAATATGGTCCTAAGCACTCGTCATTCGAAAACACCCAGTGGTTGCAGGTCCTTCTCGAGCATCGTCCACGCCTCGTGCCCCTACCGGTCTTATCAGCGTCTTGTACATGGTACATTTAGTACGGGGGTGAAGTTTACCCGACCTCAGGGTCTTGTGGAGTCCGTAGTAAGCACGACTTCCGGCAATTATGCGTCTACGAATTTCTCTGCTGCAGTTGTTATCCGACGTCACCAATGATCTGAGGTACACAAATTCATCCAGCGAGCCGTATCGCGCTCGGTTCCTCCAGCTAACAGATACTTTGTCTTCGACGTATTTACCTTGAATCCAACCTTCTCTGCTTCACGTTTCAGCATGGTGTATTGCTCCGCCACGGTCCATAACGTTCTTCCGACAATGTCCACGTCGTCAGCGAAGCAGATGAACTGGCTGGACTTATTGAAGATCGTGCCCCGCATGTTAAAGCCCGCACGTTTCATAACACCTTCTAGCGCAATGTTGAACAGGAGGCAGGAAAGACCATCGCCTTGTCGAAGTCCTTCGCGAGTTTCAAACGGGTCCGATAACGCACCCGATATCTTCACGCAGCACTGTACACCATCCATCGTAGCCCTGATCAGTCTGGTCAGCTTCCCGGGAAACCCGTTCTCGTCCATAATCTTCCATAGCTCTTCACGATCAATAGTATCATAAGCGGCCTCGAACTTGATGAATAGGTGGTGCGTAGAGACTGGAAATTCACGACACTTTTGGAGGATCTGCCACAACGTAAAGATTTGGTCCGTTGTCGATCGCCCATCCACAAAACCGGCTTGATAACTTCCCACAAATCTGCTTGCTACCGGCGATAGATGATCTGAGAAAGCACTTTGTAGGCTTCGTTGAGAATGGTGATCGCTCGATAGTTCTCCCTTTTTATATATTGGGCATATTACTTCCTCCGTCCACTCCTCCGGTAGCTGCTCTGTCTCCCAGATCCTGACTATCAGTCGGTGCAGACAAGTGGTCAACTTATCCGGGCCCATTTTAATAAGTTCCGCTCCGATAGCTGCTTTGTTGTTCTTAAGCTGTCGGATAGCATCCTTAACTTCACCTATCGTGGGAGCTGGCATGTCCCCATCATCCGCTGTACCCACGAAGCCATTCATCCTGCTGCCTTGGTCCACTGCCTCTGCACCATTCAGATGTTCATCGTAGTGCTGATTCCACCTTTCAATCACCTCACGTTCGTCCGTCAAGATACCCCCTTCCTTATCTCGACACATTTCTAGTCGCGGCACAAAGCCTTTGCGGGATGCGTTGAGTTTCTCGTAGAACTTGCGCGTTTCGTGCACGGGAAAAAAATCGATCTCCGCAATGAGAAAAATGACTCATGATTTCATAAACACAGCGTATTTTCATGTTACTAGCCAATCTTAATTTTAGGATTTATTCAACAACCACCCAATTTAAAAAAAAAATATTAATGAATTTTCCATTGTGGAGTTCCATTTATTTGGTCATTAATATATTATTAAATGGAGCAGCAAAGATAATCTCATAGTCCTACGTCAACAATGTTTGCGTGCTTTGGACACAACCCTTATTATTATTATTGTTTAAACATGAAAAAGCAAATCTTAATTGGGGTTGCATTGAACTTGAAAATCTCTGATTTTGAAAAAGAACACAACCAATACAAAATCTGCTCTCACCGCTCTCACACATACATATGCATGTTTGTAGAATCCGATTCGCTGCAGCTGTTCCGACTGCAGCTTCCAGAAAGTTCATTACGGCTTGCTCCCAACCGGAACGTCCTTCCGAAGGTGCATTATTTTTCATCATCTTCACCATCTTCCTGGGCAATCCGATCGGCTGCAGTAAATAAATTTAGAAAAGTTATACGCATCTTATTCGGGAGGAAGCAGCAAGTGATTGATAGTGTCGGCAAGAATGTGAAATCTCGCAACGGAGTTTTTCCCAATATCCTATTTCTCCTATTTTATGTTCCATGTTTGCCAAGAAATTTGTTCCATATTCGGGTTGAATTATACTTCTGATTATGTTGCTCTTCTGAGCGAACTTCTCGCCGGACGTACTGTAAATTTCTAGTAGGAAGTTTTGGTATTTATCGGCGGAAGTTCTCTGTACCTCTTCTCGAAAGTTTGAACTTCTCGGCGTGAAGTTCTCTGTATTTTTCATGGGATTTTCTCAGAACTTCTCCTCGGATGTATGCTGAATTTCTCCTCGGAAGCTTTGAACTTAGGGCCCATGCATTAATTATGTCACGCTAAATCGAGCAAAAAATTACTCCCTCCCCCCCCTATCGTGACGATTTTCCTATACCTAATGCATTGCTTATCACAAAATCTTAGACCCCCCCTCCCCCCTTAGAGCGTGACATAATATATGCATCAATCCTTATCCTCGGAAGATCTTTGAACTTCTCGCCGGAAGTTCAAAGATCTTCTCCTCAAAAGTTCTCTGAACTTCTCCTCTGAAGTCTCCTGAACTTAGTTCCGGAAGTTCTGGGAATTTCTCCTTGGAAGTTTTGTGAACTTCTCCTCGGAAGTTCTCTGAATTAAATTTTTGGATGTTCGTTGAACATATTCTCGGAACTACTCGGCGGGCGTACTATGAATATCTGAACGTCTTATCGGATGCATGCTCGGCATAC